TTAATATTAATATTAATATATTATAAGATAATTGTTATTACATTATTTAATTTTGTTATTATATGTATTATATAGTAATATTATATATAATATTATTAAGTCTATTACTATTTATTAATATATCTAAGTATTTTAAAGCTAGTGTCCATCAATGGTTTATCTTGTCCATGGTATTTGATAAATAAGAATTTTCTTTTTAAATATAGGAAATATGTGTGTGTGTAAATATTTATATAATATGTGATTTTGTTTGATTAAACATTACATCAATTTTTAATTGACTATTTAGAAGAAAAGAAGAATATTACAATTTTGAGGACATAATCATTTTTCTCTTAACTACATTCTTCTATAAATACTTGATACATATTCTTAATCCATTTAAAATATTAAAAGTACAAAAAGAAAATGTGCAATCTTTTATTTCTTTTTATTTGCGCTATCTTTGAATACAATTACAAAATATATTAAAAATTTAGTCCTATGAAAGTATAAAAAATCAATTCCATATTTCATTTTGTGATTATTTTAAATTTCTATTTTTCGTATATAATATAATATATAATTTTTTATATATAATTGTTTTATATATATATAATAAAACTTATCTCGTTTCGGATTTAATTTGGAATTTATATGTTTATACGTTTGTGTTTATATTATGTAAGGTACATTACGCACATGTTTTTATATTTAATTGCTAAAGGCTTTTTTTTCGATATTTTTTACATATTCTACATATTTGTTTTGCGACGCGATGAAGAAAAAAATGTTAGGTACGTTCGCGCGCACGCACACATTTGTACGTTAGGGAAATCGTAGTACGAGGCGGAGGCGGGTTGACGAGACGACCGCCAGGGGCGCCCCGCTCGGGAGCGTCGTTCTTTGTTTCGGTTTGGAGCGCAGTCTCCGTCCGACGAAGCGCAGAGCCCGGTTGACGAAAATTCGAGCGCGCGGACAACGAGAGGAGAGAGAGAGACAGGAACGACGGAACAGAGACGCCTCTCTTATTACGAGCTCTCCCGGATTACACGGGCAAACGCGGTTATTGTTTCCGCGCCGGTATGTTTCGGACGAGCGATCCCTTTGCCGCGAGAACAATCGAATCGACTCGCTCCCTCTGTAAATAATCGACGGCGCGAGTGCAGTGTGCGAAGAAGTGTGCGGCGAGAAAGGAATAAAGGAGAGAAAGGTGTAAGAGCAAGAAGAGAGGAGCGTAAGAGTAATAAAGGTAGTGTCGAGGAGGAGAAGGAGGGAGGTATCGGAAGTGTCGGTTCGACGACGCTTTTTCGCCTTTTATCTTCCGTCTCCTTCTTTCGCTGTCTCTCTCTCTCTCTCTCTCTCTCTCTCTCTCTCTCTCTCTCTCTCTCTCTCTCTCTTCTCTCTTCTCTCTCTCTCTCTCTCTCTCTCTCTCTCTCTCTCTCTCTCTCTCTCTCTCTCTCTCTCTCTCTCTCTCTCTCTCTCTCTCTCTCTCTCTCTCTCTCTCTCTCTCTCTCTCTCTCTCTCTCTCTCTCTCTCTCTCTCTCTCTCTCTCTCTCTCTCTCTCTCTCTCTCTCTCTCTCTCTCTCTCTCTCTCTCTCTCTCTCTCTCTCTCTCTCTCTCTCTCTCTCTCTCTCTCTCTCTCTCTCTCTCTCTCTCTCTCTCTCTCTCTCTCTCTCTCTCTCTCTCTCTCTCTCTCTCTCTCTCTCTCTCTCTTCTCTCTCTCTCTCTCTCTCTCTCTCTCTCTCTCTCTCTCTCTCTCTCTCTCTCTTCGCTCGCGTGAAGTGTGTGCAGTAACGTGTGTAGTGGTGACACTGTAACTCTCTCTCTCCGCACGCGCGTTTGCACCGCGATTTGCATTGTTTCACCGGCACGACGTTACTCGCGCGCGGCTCTTCACTCCGTTGCACGACGAGGGAGAGGAAAGGAGAGAGAGAAAAAAAAAAAAAAAAGGAGAGAGAGACAAGAGGGGGGAGATCACACCGTCGATCTGTCATCGTCGACGCCGCTGCGCGTCCATCAGGATATCAGGATCGAGGAGACGGAAACGTCAAACGAGACGAAGACGACGCTCGAGGGGGGTGGAGTAATAGCTCTACCGCCGATATCCTTTCATCCGTACGATTCCATTCGTCCGTGTGGTGTCGTCGTCGATTACCGCTGCCGCCGCCTTCAGTGTTGAGCGCGCCGCGACGGGGGTTGCCGACATCGCCGCCGCCGACGTCGTTTCCCCATCGATTGCCGGCCGCCGATCCGCCGTCGCCGGTTGCAACAGTAGTGCGCGTGTAGCGCGGAGGAGGAAGAGGAGGTGGAAAGAGT